TCTGAGACACACAGTTTAAAGCTTCCTAACTTAATATGTAGTAGCCAATACAGTTTTCGGTAAATTTTCAAAGGCAATTTTCCTCCTATAAAATCTCTAAAACTCTAGAAATAAGCAAGAGAACTGATGCTTGATTTCTGGGATCTAGCCAGATCACCCCAGGATGCAATGGTGAAAGGAGCCCAGGGGAAAAGTCTAATTTTCCACAATAAGTAATGCTTATTACAAAAAATCATTGTGGATATTTAGAATTGAATGAAATCCTTTATTTTACTGCCTGAAGAAGGCCCCTCAAAATAAACAGAAGTGACTATTTCAAACTTTGTCCTAAATACTAGGAAAAAAAATTATTTCTAATTGGCAGTCAGCCTCAGACTATAAAAATGACACCTTGTGTGCCAGTGAGATCGTACCAATCAAAATTAGATACGTCCTCTAAATTTTTCTTAATATTTTGAGGAGCCTGAAATAATTTTATACACTCGATTCCCAAAGAAGTAACATATGAGAGATTGTTTCCCCCTAAAACAGCGAAGATGAAGATTTATTATAACTTGCCCAGTTTTTAGACACAATCTCTCGTTCCGAAGAGAAAAGTGAAAGCAGTGAGTACTTCTGATGGTAGCACAACAGCCTTCACACTTAATACCAAGGCGGAGAGGCAAGATGCCGGCGGAGGAGGAGCCCTCATGGCATCTGGTCCCCTACATTTGGCTAGATGACCCTCAGGCCACCCTGCACACTCTAGAACCCAACCTGAGACATGAAGGAAGAACATTGGAACTCCACAAATAGGAGGGCGGAAAAGGTAGGCCGGGTGGGGGAGGGAGGCTTGGGGTGCTGCAGGACCAGGGCTCAGCCCTGGGGCTTGAGCCTGGGCCTTTAGAAGTGTGCTCCTGCCTGGACGGGGCCCCGGAGGCGGCAGGTGCAGGAGCGGCGGTGGCCCAGTATGTCTAAGACACAGGGAGGACAGGCCCTGAGGCCTACGCGGCCACCCCAGCCCCACAGCGGGCTGCAGGTTTGGGCCGCAGATCTGCGGGAGGCTCAGCTTGGTCTACACCACTTGCAGCATCATGCAGAGGCCAGGACAGCAGCAAGGGGCCCCGCTTCCCCTGGAGGAGGCTGTGTAGAGGCGCACCCCCTGGGTCAAGGTCTCCATGCCAGGGCCCTGCAAGACACACAAGCCCAGTGGGGGGGGGGAGATCCACATGAGTGCAGAACCTTCCCCTGCATGCTGCAAATTGCACAAAGCAGCGTCCCTTCCACCTGCCCCCAGCAGGGTTTGGGTGGACGGGGGCAACAGCATCTGGAGGTGGGCACACGCTGGGACCTCCCAGCTCCTGGGCTTTCTTTTTTTTTTCCCTTTCGCCCTCAAGAGATGCAGGGAAAGCCTTCAGGCAGTGAAGACCTCACACCGCCAATAGCTCACACCAAGCCGCCTGGAAAGGGGCCGCACAGCTCCACACAGGTGCACACACCTGAGGATTAGCACAGCAGGCCCTCCCCCAGAACACCAGCTGGAAGGACAGGGGAACAGCAAGTCTCCTGACCAAACAGCACTGAAAAACACCAGGACTGGGGGAAAATAGTATCTAGGACTCGAGGTTTCTCTCATCTTTCAGATTAAGTTTCCAGTATTTTTTCGTTTTTTCCTATCACAACTAATTTATTATTTTATCAACTCTTTTTAGGTCTTTTTTTTTTATTTTTGTATTTTACAATAACATGTTATAGATATATTCTTCACCTTTGGCTTCCTTTCACTGTATTCAATTTTCTTTTTGCATATATATAACTTTTGCTTTTTTTAAAATAGATTTTGAATTTAGTATCTTCTAACACAGAGACCAAAATACACTCAGAACCAAGTGGATCACCCTGGTCCAGTCCGAGAGACTATGTTCTCCCTCCCTTCCAATCCCTTTTTTTCTCTCTCTCTCTCTCTCTCTCTCTCTCTTGTTTTTTTGTTTGTTTGTTTTCTTTGTCTTTTTCCTTTTAATTTCTGGCTCCTAATGTCTTCAGAATTATCTAGTGTGTATTTTGCTTGGGTCATGGTTGATATTTTTTACTCTACTGAATCACACAGCCATTCTTCACTGGACAAAATGACTAGAAGGAAGAATTCACCACGAAAGAAAGAATGGAAAGAATGTATTTAAGCAAGATGTCAGACATAGAGTCCAGGATTACAATTATAAAGTCACTAGTTGGGCTTGAAAAGAGCATAAAAGACTGTGGAGAATCTCTTAGAGCAGAAATGAGATCTTATCAGGCCAAAATTAAAAATGCTCTGAGATACAGTCTAAACTGGATGCTCTAACAACTAGGGCAAATGAGGCAGAAGAGAGAATAAATGACAGAGAAGACAAGTTGATGGAAAGGAAAGAAGCTGAGGAAAAGAGAAAAACAACTAAAAGCCCACAAGGAGAGACTCCAAGAATTAAGTGATAGTTTGAAAAAAAAAAAAGTCCATATTATTAGAATTCCAGAGGATGCAGAGAGAGTAAAGGACCAGAAGGTATATTTGAGCAAATCATAGCTAGAACTTCCCTAATCTGGGGAAGGAAACAGGTATTCATAATCAAGAGAGGACCCCTCACAAAATCAATAAAAACTGATCAACACCCTGATATAATGGTGAAGCTTGCAAATTTCAGAGATAAAGAGAAAATCCTGAAAGAAGCTCAAGACAAGAGATTCCTAACATACAGTGGAGAAATACTCGATTAACAGCAGATCCATCCACAGAGACCTGGCAGGCCAGAAAGGGCTGGCCTGATGTAATCAGGGTCCTAAATGAGAAGAACCTGCAGCCAAGAATGCTTTATCCAGCAAGGCTCTCATTCAGAATAGAAGGAGAGATAAAGAGCTTCCAGGACAGACGGAAACTGAGAGAATATGTGACCACCAAGCCAGCCCTGCAGGAAATAGTAAGGGGTATCTTGTAAGCAAAGAGGGAGCCCAAAGAAACAGACAATCTACAGAAACAAGGACTGTATAGGTAACACAGTGGCACTAAATTCATACCTTTCAGTAGTTACTCTGAACATGAATGGGCCATTCTCCAAAGAAGACATAGATAGACACGGCCAACAAGTATGTGAGAAAATGCTCCGCGTCACCCGCCATCAGGGAAATGCACATCAAAACCACAATGGGATCCCACCTCACACCAGTGAGAATGGGGAAAATTAACAAGGCAGGAAACAACAGATGTCGGAGAGGATGTGGAGAAAGGGGAACCCTCTTGCACTGTTGGTGGGAATGTGAATTGGTGCAGCCACTCTGGAAAACTGTGTGGAGGTTCCTCAAAGAGTTAAAAATAGACCTGCCCTAGGACCCAGCAACTGCACTGCTGGGGATTTACCCCAAAGAAACAGATGCAGGGAAACGCCGGGACACCTGCACCCCAATGTTTAGAGCAGCAATGTCCACAATAGCCAGACTGTGGAAGGAGCCTTGGTGTCCTCTGACAGATGGATAGAGAAGCTCCAGTCTCTGTATACAATGGAATATTCCTCAGCCATTAGAAACGATGAATACACACCATGTGCTTTGACGTGGATGAACTGGAGGGCATGATGCTGAGTGAAGTAAGTCAATCGGAGAAGGACAAACATTATATGCTCTCATTCATTTGGGGAATATAAGAAATAGTGAATGGCTCAGTTGGTTGAGCATCTGCCTTTGGCTCAGATCATGATCTCAGGGTCCTGGGATCGAGTCCTACAGGGAGCCTGCTTCTTTCTCTGCCCCCCCCACCCCTTCTGCTCTCTCTCAATTGCCCTCTTTCTCCCTTGCTGTCTTGCAAATAAATAAATAAAACCTTTTAAAAAATAAATTCAATCTGCCAACATATAGCATATCACCCAGTGCTCACCCCATCAAGTGCCCCCTCAGTGCCTGTCACCCAGTCACCCCGTCCCCCCGCCCTCCTCCCCTTCTGCAACCCTCCATTTGTTGCCCAGAGTCAGGAGTCTCTCATGGTTTGTCTCCTCTAATTTTTCCCACTCAGTTCCCCTCCTTTCCCCTATAATCCACTATTTCTTCACTATTAGCTTTCCCTTTATTTTAGATAGCAGGCAGCACTGGGTAGGTTTAGGCTTAGAATTGTTTTTTTAAAACATTTCATTCCTGCCAGCATTTTAATATGAACTTACTTCCACTGTTTGCTCTTTATGTAACATACCATATTAGGATAAAAGCTGTTCAAACATTCTTTACCAAAGAGAATTTTACCTTCTCTAAATAAGAACCTTGCATTTCACTGTTTAATTTCTACAACTTAGAAACAGTTCCCACTGCTAATGAACTGGGTCTCTCTCAAACTAAAATGTAAGCCCGTAAAAGGCAGCTGCTGTGCTTTCCTCTTCAGGCATTCCTTAGCATCTAGGATGATGAGTGATGAGCCTCTAGCTTTGCATTTACTTCTCCCTTTATTCCAAGGATGGCATTCCCTTATTCTTTCCATTAAAAGTGTAAAAGAAGGGAAATTATGGCCTTTGTAAGTTCTATTTGGAGATGAAAGAATCAGGGACTCTTGGCACTCTGGGCGAAGAAAATTTATGTGAAAAGACCACACTCAGCTCTGAAAAATACTTTTGGGGCTGTGGAACAACATGCTACACAATGGGAAAGTGGGAAATGATTGCTCTTGAAGTCCCTTGAAATTCAAAGTCTACAGAAATCACAAAGAGCTGAATATAACGTTTCTTTGGGGGAAATGTTCAGAGTCAAGTCTGCATACTGCAAAAGAGAATTGGCCCTCATGCCCCTGACCAAACGAGCCAACACAGCAGGGGGACAATTGCATCACTTATGGTTGATTTCAACAGATGTGGCCCGGATCCACATAACTTATGAATAAACAGAACTTTTTTTAATACAGTGCACGTAGTACGTATTGTAAACATGCCCCAGAGTTTGAAGCAAAAAGGAATTCAAAAACACAGAAATATATTTTGTATCTAAGAATAAATGGGCACTAAAGAATTCAGGTCTTAATATCCTTAAAGGAAAAGGATATTTATTTTTGTCACATATTGATGGTGATTTGGGCTCAGAGGCTCTACCAGCCATATAATCTCCTGCCTCTATTCTTCAAAGTACGCTATGCAAGGTTGGTCTAGAGCACATTTGACCACTTCTACTTCTCCACCTCCGTTCTTCTCCCGCTGAAAGTGAATGTTAACTAAATCCTGCAAAATTTCTTCATCCATCATCTGAAGATCTTCCATCCCAGTCAGAAGCACCGTCCTTTCCGATATTCCCAAAAACATCTAAGAAGGAAAGTTTAAAAGATGAATAGAAAACGTTCCAAGAGCTTTGAGGTCTAAAACTTCATATTGATAAGCTCTGCCTAATATTTGGGACTTTATCTTGGAAGAGACAAGAGCCTCAGGGAGATGTTGCAGGAAGAGAATATCCGAGGTGGGTCTGAGTTTCGGGAAGATAACTGGTGGCATTAGGACGAGCAGAGGAAAGAGGCATCGCTGCGGACAGAAGGACCAGGAAAGGATAGTCAGAAGTGCAAGCAGAAGCACCAAGTGGCCGCATGAATGGGGGGGGGGGAGCAAAACTAAGAATTGAGCATTTGAGTGGCTTTCAGGAGGGTGACCAGGTGGACAGGGCTGCGGTTTAATACCCAAGGAAAGACACCGAGGCTCCTTCCACAGTTTGGCTATTGTGGACATTGCTGCTATAAACATCGGGGTGCAGGTGTCCCGGCGTTTCATTGCATCTGTATCTTTGGGGTAAATCCCCAACAGTGCAATTGCTGAGTCATAGGGCAGGTCTATTTTTAACTCTTTGAGGAACCTCCACAAAGTTTTCCAGGTGTCCATCGAAAGATGAATGGATAAAGAAGATGTGGTTTATGTATACAATGGAATATTCCTCAGCCATTAGAAATGACAAATACCCACCATTTGCTTCAACGTGGATGGAACTGGAGGGTATTAGGCTGAGTGAAATGAGTCAATCGGAGAAGGACAAACATTATATGTTCTCATTCATTTGGGGAATATAAATAATAGTGAAAGGAAATAGAAGGGAAGGGAGAAGAAATGGGTAGGAAATATCAGAAAGGGAGACAGAACATAAAGACTCCTAACTCTGGGAAACGAACTAGGGGTGGTGGAAGGGGAGGAGAGCGGGGGGTGGGGGCGAATGGGTGACGGGCACTGAGGGGGGCACTTGACGGGATGAGCTCTGGGTGTTATTCTGTGTGTTGGCAAATTGAACACCAATAAAAAAATAAATTTATTATTAAAAAATAAAATAAATAAAATATACGTTAAAATATTAAAGAATACCTACATGATGTTCTATAACATATTTTAAGAACTATACAGCAAAATACAATTTTGAAATAAAATTGCTTACTGCAAATTTAAAAAAAGAAAAAAGAAATAATACCCAAGGAAGCCACAGAGAAAAGGAACAGGTCAGGGTAAACATAGTGAGTTCAGAGAAAATGAGTGGAAAGAATTAGATTTAATGCCCAATGACAGTAAACACATGAGAGAAATGCAGCTATGTCTCCACACACAAAAATATGATGCCATTATCTAAGTAATTTCAGGTTTTAAAAAGTGTGTAAAGAATCGAATTCGGTACAGTTTTGCATTAAAATACTTTTTAAAAAGAGAAACTTATTTTGCAGCAAGCAGATATGAAGAAACTATTTTGCAATTGCTCACTAATAAGATTCAACATTAGCAGACTCACAACTTTTCTATTTTTTGTGGGGCGGGGTTGAGCAGTAAGTTCCCAAAATGAAAGAAAAGAGATGACTTTACCTGAAAGTGTTTCAAATGTGTTTCTGTGTATGGAGAAACAATGACGTTGTAGCAGTTTTCATTTATATAAAGTGGATAGTCTTTCTTTTTCAAAATCTTGTCAGCAACTGGAAGTAAATTTTTAAAAAATCATTTTCTTTTTTATATCACAGACATTTTTAACCAAAGTTAAAACTTCCTTCAAACAGAACACCACACTAAACAGTGAATTTGAGTGATTATGTTCTTAAGAATTCTACGATCCACAGTACACACAAAAATACAAAATTGTGTATTTTGAAAAATATAAGTCCAAACAATAATGGGTTTAAACAGATCCTTCCGTCTTGAACTATCCACTGCAATCAATGCAAGGACTGTGATGGCCTCAGACAGATCTATCCTGAGGTACACAAAATGCAATAACCACCTGCAAAAATGTAACCCCCTCACCCTAACAACATGTGAGTTTCCCAGTTTCTCAAGAAGCATAATTGAAAATTATGATTAGAATGCTATACCTATATATTTTTTACAATACACACAGTATATAATAAATTTTTTTATTCCTATATTTTTATATATAAAATTACTTAGGTGTTCTGCACCTAATATATAATATTATTCAGTAAACTGATATAATGATGTTAAGCAACGGGGGAGGGGTGGGGCGGTTGGATGTCATCTAGAAAGTGAAGGCAAATAACAAAAATTCATCAGTTTCCTCTAACACAAAGAATAACCAGACTTATTTTTAGCAGCATTTTTCTCCTAGAGGGAAAAAAGGTAATGTTTCAGATTGCATAAAGTTTAACGGAAACAGTTCTTAGGAATATCCTATCACTTTGCTTTTTCTCCTCTCCCCAGTCCATCTCGGGTGAGCAATATGGTGCGGAGGTTGAGAGCAGGCCCCTGCTGATGAGGATGTAGAGAAACTGAATCCCTGGTTCACTGTTAGTAGGAACATAAAATGCTACAGCCAGTGTGGAAAGCAGTATGGCAGTTCCTCAAAACATTAAACATAGAATCACCATATGCTCCAGCAATTCCAGAAAGATCTAGAAAGACATTCAACTAACCATAACTAACTACACAGTAGAAGGGACATGTAGTGAAATGTCTCCATTTTTACTAAATTAATGCTCTTCTCTATTATCTCAATTTTCTTTGAAAAGAATGTGTTACTCTCTTATGAAAAACAGTATTTTTTAAATTGTATCGCTGGATTTTTATTACATGTGCAATCCCAGGAGAAACCCTAAAAACTGGATTAACTGGAGTAAGATATTTTTTCCTTGGAGAATCACTTGGGCACGTTAACAAAAGCATCTGTAGAATTTTATATTTTTAATTATAAGAATGTAAATCTCGCTCAGATGATTTAGTAAAAATCCATTTCTACCTATAAAGGTAACTAACAGCTTGTCTTCCCTGCAATCTATTGTCTCCACCTAAGAGACCCTCATCTGTCAAAATTGATGGGATGGAAGTGACGGTTTTCTATATATGCATATTTAGATTTCTCTGCCACATACTCACTGTGATTGGGGGTAAGTTATTTACCTTCCCTAGGACTCCGTTTCCTCACCAATAAAGTGAGTATAACACGGATCTCCAGAGTTGTGCTGCGGTTCAGAGGAAATACATGCCCATGTCCTTGGGCACTAGTATGAAGGATGAGGATGCACTAGGATTGAAGTACCTGTTATATGTAGTATTCTCAGTAGCATTCACAGAAATCATTTTCAGGACCCTACCATTTTATAACATTTTTAAAAAATCCCCTATTATTATGCTGTCAAGTAAATTCCAAAAAAAAAGAACAGAAAAGGAATACTTTCAGAAACTGCATATCATAGGAGTGCCTGAGTGGTACAGTTGTTTAAGTGTCGCACTCTTGGTTTCTGCTCAGGTCCTGACCTCAGAGTTGTGAGACAGAGCCTCTCCATGGGGCTCTGCGCCCAGCACGGGGCTGCTGAAGACTCTCCCTCTCCCTGCCCCTCCCGTCTTGCTCTCTCTCACTCTCTAAAATAAATACATGTTAAAAAAAAAAAAAAAGGAAAAAGAAAAGAAATGGCAGCACATGATTGAGTGGTAGAGTCTTTTGTAGCTGCCTCCACAGGTGACTACCTCCAGCCTCCATAAAGGTGACCACGGCACTGCGGGATGGCCTATGGTACTGCACACACAGCACTTCTCCACCTCCGTTCCGGGACTTAGAGAAGCTCAGTTCCAGCTTGTCTCTCATCTGGTCCTCAGGCAGTGCGTCGGGAATTTCACTAACATTGATCTTCACCTTAGACACTTCTTCACAGACCTGGGAAATCAGTTCATGTTCAGGAATACGGATGAGAAGAGTGTTCACACCCAACAGAATCCTAACAAGCCTTAATCACCATGTTACCTGGAATCTGACTCCTGAATTTAATGGAACTGGCTTGGCCACAACCTCCACATCTATATCTTCTATCCGTATATGATGTTTCCCCATCTTGATGACATTTTGGGCAACTGAAAAATAATTTCAGAGTATTAATTGCCAGGATCTTTTTTTTTTTTTAAGGCTGAGAAGTTGGAGCTGGAATCCATTTTTTTAACTTTCTTTTTTTTTTAAGATTTTATAAAGAGACATAGAGAGACAGAGAGAGGGGCAGAGACACAGGCAGAGGGAGAAGCAGGCTCCATGCCAGGAGCCTGATGCAGGACTCAATCCGGGACTCCAGGATCACACCCTGGACCAAAGGCAGGTGCCAAACCACTGAGCTACTCAGGGATCCCCCTAATTGCCAGGATTTTAATAGATGTTTTCACTTTTGGTTTAAGAAACAAATTATTATAGGTATTTTAAATGTCCTTTAATCTTAAAAGATCTAATTTTTTTAAGATTTTATTTATTTATTCATAGAGACAGAGAGAGAGAGTGAGAGTGAGAGAGGCAGAGACACAGGCAGAGGGAGAAGCAGGCTCCATGCAGGGAGCCTGACGTGGGACTCGATCCAGGGTTTCCAGGATCACGCCCCGGGCTGCAGGCAGCACTAAACCGCTGCGCCACCGGGGCTGCCCAGGATCTAATGTTTTAAAACATTATCCTAGGACTTTCAAGTGATAATAGTCTTGTCACCAAAGTGGCAAATAGATATATTAATGTTGAAATGTCAAAATATATCAGTAAAAATCACAAGGTAGTCAAAAAGGTACAAACTTCCAGTTATAAGATAAATAAGTTCCAGGGATGTAATGTAGAACATGGTGACCACAGCTAACGCTGTTGTGTGGTATCCAGGAGAGCTGTTACGAGACTAGATCCTAAGCATACTCATTACAAGCAAAAAAAGTTTTTTGCCCTTTTTGTTGAATCTATAAGAGCTCTGTTTATTGCATCTATATGAGAAGATAGATGTTGGCTACACCTGCTTCGGTGACCATTTCACAATATATGCAAATCACCATGCCATACACCTGAAATTTAGACTGTGATATGTATCAATGATTTCTCAGCAAAACTGGAAAAAAAGTATAATGTAGAAAATCTCATCAAGTTCCAGATTCATCTCTTAAGAGATAAGCCTGGTGATGCTTCGGAAATTCATCTAGTATTTCAGCTCAACCACACGCCCTTTGGAATTCCTGTTAACAGATGATGAGAGAATTCCCTTAGTGCATTAATTAAAGCACAGCCAGAAACTTCTTCGGCATTGAGTAAGCCGGAAAAAGTTGTGTGGGCCAGTGGCATTCTGACAATCTTATTTATCATTTGCCACTCCTCTTTAATATGCTATAAACACCAAAGAAATAAATGTTCATTTTCGTCTTTCCTAAGGATGACATATTAAAGACCACATAAGCTTGAACATCGAAGTGTGAGTCTTTTTTATTTTTTGGCTGTGTTTAATTATTTATTTATTTATTTTTGGCTGTATTTAATGAGGAATTCTCCTTTTGCTAGAATGTCTTGAGATCATTTATTTAAAAAGATGATAGCCTGTACCAATCACAAAACTATCAAAGCTAATTTATCTGTGCGCATGGGAGAGGCTCAGTACTGTAGTTATGCCCCAAATCATTAGAAATCCAGACAGCAGCGACATTTCAGTTTAAAATGAATGTGGGTGTGCCATTTGCTTCAACGTGGATGGAACTGGAGGGTATTATGCTGAGTGAAGTAAGTCAATCGGAGAAGGACAAACAGTGTATGTTCTCATTCATTTGGGGAATATGAATAATAGTGAAAGGGAATATAAGGGAAGGGAGAAGAAATGTGTGGGAAATATCAGAAAGGGAGACAGAACATAAAGACTCCTAACTCTGGGAAACGAACTAGGGGTGGTGGAAGGGGAAGAGGGTGGGGGGTGGGGGTGAATGGGTGATGGGCACTCAGGGGGATACTTGATGGGATGAGCACTGGGTGTTATTCTGTATGTTGGTAAATTGAACACCAATAAAAATTAATTTATTAAAAAAAAGAATGTGGGTGTGCATTTCATTTCTAATTGTGGGACATGAGAGTTTAGAACATTTCAGTGGTTAATGCAGGGCCACTTACACTAATTTGTCACAAAGGTAAGGGATGCCCACCCCGGCCTGACAAATCTCATGTGTTTGTGACAACCAGACACACCGCGGCTGAAGGAGGAAACAGGCCAAGAGGCAGGGCGCAGCCATGTACCATGATATGACTCCATAACTTGAATTATGACTTTTTTTTGTTAATGACAACAGGCAACAATAACAGAAACTGCCAGTGAAGTCATCCTTAGATGATCCTCTTTCTCTCCCACACCCTCCTCCCCAGCCTCCAACATCTGGTGATCTGACACAGCTGAGAGGACCACTGTGGCTCTCAAAAGCCAACCCCTGTTCCACTGTGTTTGAGCCCAAAGTTGTCCCAGGAGAGCAAGGCCTCAGAGCCGTGAGGAGAATGGAAGTGGTTTCCAAAGACAACCCTAGTCCCGGCATTCCCAAGTAATCCCTTGCAGAATTCCTGCCTCCCACATCCCTTCTTCTGTCTTTTGGTTGTATCCCCGTTACCACTGCCACCTGCCAACTGCCTACACAGGGCCCCTGGCCCCTGTCTCTACCCTCGGCTGCAGCCGAGGTGGACCCAAGGTGAACCGACAGTGGGTGCATATGCTGATCTGCTAAGGATGCTCTTCTTTTTAATATTTTTATTCAGGCTGTAGTGACAGACCAGGTCTAAGGAGATACAAGTTATAATCCTAGATTCTCAGAATCTGAGCACTGTAAGGGCTTAAAACCATCCAGACCCACCCCATAACTGGACAGATACAAGAATAAAGGCCAGAGAGAGTGACCTGCTGTGAGGACTGTTGGTCCAGTACAATGCGCATGGGTACTCAAGTTGTGGCTCTCAGTTTCGCGATTTTTAACTGTATGGACCTTGAATAAGTTCTTTATCTTTCCTAAGTTTCAGTTTCCTTATCTGGAAAACTCCCAAGGAGTGGCAATAATGACCGCTAACATCTACTTTTTATTTTGTGTCAGACACCGTGTAACAGCATTTCTGATTTAATACTCAGCCCAACCCCATAAAGTAGGCACTGTCTCAAGGCCTGTCAGAAAACTCTGAGATTCAGAAAGAACCCAACCCAAATCTCATATCTAGAAATGGGCAACGTTGGCCCTGAAGGCCAGATTGTCCTCCCTAGCGTGCCTCCGGCTTGGAACAGGGTCCTACAGCAGACTCAGCAAATGTCAGGGCCCGTTTCCAAATCGCTGACTCTTGGGTTCTTTCCACTGGTCATGTGCCCTTAGGTAAGTCACTTACACACCCAAGAATCTGTGTCCTTAGCCATAAAATGTAAATGGTAACTCTCAGGATCCCTGGGTGGCTCAGCGGTTTAGTGCCTGCCTTCGGCCCAGGGCATGATCCTGGAGACCTGGGATCGAGTCCCCCGTCAGTCTCCCTGCATGGAGCCTGCTTCTCCCTCTGCCTGTATCTCTGCTTCTCTCTATATATATCTCTCATGAATAAATAAATAAAATCTTTAAAAATAAGTAAATAGATAGTAACTCTCCTCTCAGTCACGTGAGCGTAAGAGGAGCCGTCTGTGAGAACTCTGGGGGAACTCTATGGAGCTCTATCAGCTTAAGACATTCTTGCTAACACCATTTGGAGGTAGCAGGTGGAGCAGAGAGACACTGGTATTGGACGTCACAACACCTGGGCTTGAGTCCCAGGGTCGTCATGTTCTCAACAGGTGATCACATTCTTGGCAGTTAATGTCCCAGTTTTCTCATCATCAAATGAGGATAATCCTGTCTGCCCAAGGTATCGCCATGAGATGAGATGAGATGAGATGAGATGAGATGAGATGAGATGATAGATGTAAAAATTTTAAAGCAATAGCCAAGTATCTAAGAAAGCTCTTTGGAAGTCTCAGCGATTTCCAAAAGCAACATAGTAAAAAAAAATTTTTAAGATTTATTTATATTTATTTATTTATTTATTTATTTATTTATTTATTTATTTATTTATGATAGACACAGAGAGAGAGAGAGACAGAGACAGAGACACAGGAGGAGGGAGAAGCAGGCCCCACGCCGGGAGCCCGATGTGGGACTTGATCCCGGGACACCAGGATCGTGCCCTGGGCCAAAGGCAGGTGCTAAACCACTGAGCCACCCAGGGATCCCCAACATAGTCAAATTTTTGAACATTGCTCGTACCTTCTTCTCTTTCAAAGGTGATAAGAGCTTGCCCTTTCTGCAGCTCATAAAAAATTGGCGAGCTCACTTGAAATGAACAGGAGATGTTTAAAAACTGGCTCTCAGTCTCAGGGTTCTCTAAAGATGTGAACTTCACCTTTGTTTCAGGAATATCCTCTTTAATCTAATTTAAACAGAAATGTTTGATTAAAATCAAGACAAGAAATAACTTAAGCCCTTCTTGTGATAATGTGATTTGACCGTCCAATAATTCATCCTCCACTGATTTCAGAATCCCACAGAATACCAAGTGCAGTCTTTTTTTTTTTTTCATTTATTTATGATAGTTACACAGAGAGAGAGAGAGGCAGAGACACAGGCAGAGGGAGAAGCAGGCTCCATGCACCGGGAGCCCGACGTGGGATTCGATCCTGGGTCTCCAGGATCGCGCCCTGGGCCAAAGGCAGGCGCCAAACCGCTGCGCCACCCAGGGATCCCCCAAGTGCAGTCTTATTTAATATCTTTAGTAATTAGTTCTTCCTAGGTAAGTACTCAGGAATGTAATCAGATGCTGATCCTTTAATATTATTTCCCAGATGAAATTATAAATATATAATCTCTCATTTTTTCTAATCAATATTTAAACTAGCCAATATTGTATGGTGTTAGATTCTAAAGCCTACATCACTCCTGTAGAGGAGTACCTCTTAAACAACCGTACTAATAATAGGCTCTCTTACAAGGGAATCATTAGACATATGTTCACAACAAAGCAGTATAAAATAGTTGAGTATATGCCATGTGTATTTTGATAGCTAACCCGGATAATTTCATCCCAAAAAAAAGACTCTTGAATTATGTTTTAATTCTCAAATTTAAATTCCCCTTTCTCCAACACCTGCCCATCAATTTTTTAACCATTATCAAACTTAGGTCTGTAAAAATGCGAAGGGACACCACCAACAAAATTCGTAAGCTGAAGGGTAAAGTTACATGGTTAGACTTATCTGTTAAAATCACTGGGATTACCAGACATACACAACTATATATAAATGCACAAACGAATCTGTTGTTTACATTTCTTTCTTTCTCTCTTTCTTTTTTTATTCCTGAGAGACACAGAGAGAGAGGCAGAGACACGGGCAGAGGGAGAAGCAGGTCCCTGCGGGGAGCCCGACGTGGGACTGGATCCTGGGAATCTGGGATCACGGCCTGGGCTGAAGGCAGATGCTCAACCGCTGAGCCCCCCAGGTGCCCCATGTTGTTTGCATTTCTATTTCCCATAATCATTTTACATGCTGCAAGAAAATGTTTGTGTTCTCACAAAGGGGTTAGAAAGAGTCAATAAGTTATTTGACCTAATTTCACATTTCTCACATCTGCCCTGTATCTTCACACATAACCTCTGTAGAATTTGATTACTGTAAGTCCAATTTCAAAACAACTGGCAGTGTCTGAGAAAAGGCAGTGTTTCCCAATAATGTGGAAATACCCAATATACTCTGAAAAGTCGAGAGCTTTCTGGAACGAGAGTGCCTGATTTTGGTCTTAGGCACACTTGGCCAGGAGCAACTCACCTATGCTCTCTAGACCTCAGTTTCAGTCCTCTGGAAATTGGACTGGCTGAGCTGGCTGGGTTCCCAAGGCCCTGTGAGTTAGAGGGTGAAGTGATTGCTCTCCAGCCAGGACGGTAACGGAGTGTTCCCTACATCCCATAAACACGGGAACCCCACTTGAATTGATATATTCAATATCCTACCCCCCATTTCAGAAACAAAAAGTGACAACGTTTTAAGCATTTAAGTTGTTTAAAGACAGGTGTTTGTTTGTTTGTCTGAACAATGAGTTGTTATGGACAAAAATGGGGAGAGGGGTATCTGGGTGGCTCAGTCGGCTAAGTGTCTGCCTTTGACTCAGGTCCTGAGGTCGAGTCCAGCACTGGCTCCTGCTCAGCAGGGAGTCTGCTCCTCCCCCTTCCCTATGCCCCTACCCTCTGCTCATGCTCTCTCTCTCTTTCTCTTTCTCATTCTCTTGCTCTTTTTCAAATAAATAAATAGAATCTTAAAAAAAAAAAAAGAAAGCAAAAAGGGGTGAAAAGTTATGTCTAATTCAAATACAGAAAAATTTCGGAGAGAATTTAAATGGTGAAGACATATGTCCGATTTTTTTAAAAAACTGTGAAATTCATTTAAATTACTTGGATTAGAAGAGCAATAAAGGAATTTAGTGAGAAGACCAATAATTTGATCCAAAAGTGACTAATAACGACCAATATGTTTTTTGTTTTTGCATTAACATACACATACATTAAAAAATAAAAGCATATACAAAAATTTTAAATGTGTATTATCAGAAATATACAGCCAGATGAAATTTTACAAAGTGATCACACGCATGTGACCAGAGCCCTGATCAATAAACAGAACATGACCAACACCCCAGAAGCCTCCTTTGGTTCCCTTCCAGTTCCTACCTGCCTCCAAGGGCAACAGATGCTAACTTCTAACACCCTGCTCTTGTGCTTATTTAAATGCAAGTATATGATATGCCCTCGTTTATCTTTTTTGGCTCAACACTGTGCTTATGAAGTTCATCCATGAGGCTTGCATGTGGTTATATTCTGTTCATTGTCGCTGTGTTGTATTCCATTTTGTCAATACACTTCAAATTAATAATTCATTCTACTATGGAGAGTTGAGTTGTTTTCATTTTAGAGCTACTACAAACCATGGTGCCATCAATGGCTACAATGTTTTTATTTTTATTTTTTTAAAGACTTTATTTATTTGACACAGAGAGACAATGACCACAATGTTTCAAAGGTGAATTCTGTATCATTAAATTGGCTTTTCTGAAAAATGGTGTCAACTAAAAATGTGACACATAAACTAATTAGAGATACCTGGGAGTTTCTGGTGGCCTCTTGTAACTCAGCTTCGAGCCTTTGGATCTCCTCCTTTAGTTGAATATTTTCCTTTGTGAGTCTGTCAGTTAATCTCTAAAAAAATCAAACAGCACCAAAAAATTAAACAGCCGCTGACCTCATTCTTCTAAATGAATCCAAGAAGCTACATTCCTATCACCCTAATAAAGGCAAAGGAATACATCATCACCTATTGATTCTTCTACTTCTGACAAGTATTATTATCTCCTCTATACAAGCAGTGAAACTACCTTTCACACAAGACCAAAGTCACAGAAGATTTTGTAGAGCACGGATTGAGAGCCAGACCTCAACCTTATTAACTGCCTTCCTGGCCATTTGTGACAACAATATCACTTTTAAGTTAGGGGCACCTGGGTGGCACAGTCGGTTGAGCGTCTGATTGGTGTCAGCTCAGGTCATGATCTCCGAATCCTGAGACTCCGCAGTGTCGGGCTCTGCACTCGGCATGGACTCACCTTGGGGCTCTATCTCCCTCTTCTCCCACCCCCAGCAGCTCGTGTTTGCGTTCTCTCTAAAATAAATAAACAAATTTCTAAAAAAATAAGTAAATAAGAAAATTGCATTGTAATTGTAGACATATGTTACTTGAGACCAATTAAATTTTTTTTTTTTTTGCTGTGATTCCCACAGTATAGACATGCCAGACATATGGCCCTGGGTAAGTGGCTCAAGCCACCTGAGTCTCCCTCCCCTCTTGGGTCTGATCAGATAATTGCTAACTAAGTCCTTAACTTCTAGGTGCAAATCAAAGAAAGGAAGGAGGGGAGGAAAAGATAGCTAATATTCTAAGCCTTACAACGAAAGAATAGAAATGATTCTTTCTGTGAGACTTGAATAATGGAAGAAAAATGCTTGAAAACCTTAATATCTAAAAAAAAAAAAGAAAAAGAAAAAAAAAGAAAACCTTAATATCTTCCCAAATTCAAAGTAATGTTAGGCAAACACATATAAAACATGCTTCACTACAAAACTTATAGATATAAAATAATTTTAACAATATCTAGTAATATTTACCTTTCTTAGTTCATTTTTCGTTACTTCTCCATTTGACCAACGATCCAAAAAAACTCGTTTTTCCCTGTGTTCATCTTCTGCCATGATTACCTAATTATTGTAAAAAGTAAATATTTTTAAAAATAGTACATATATATAAATTCAAGAAGAAAGAAATAACTTTTACCCTTTCACAGAAGAAACGCCTCTTCTTTGCTATATCTTTTTTCTTATCATCAAAGCCTTTATTGTCATGTGGCTTATATTTGGACCAAGTCTATATTTCAAATAACTGTAGCGTCTGTAAATGTATAAAAGAATTCTAAAAATTCTTTGCTTTTCAACACAATAATAGAAAATAGCAGGCATTAATATTCCTTTGAGGTTCATATCTTAATCATAATATGATGCTCCATTTGCAAAGATTTCAATTTTGGTCTTTTCAAAGGTTTTGATTTAAACATCTAATTCTTCCTATTGCATTTCCCAAATGTAAATGGAGTAAAAAGGCCCCTCTCAAATACCTCTCCTCTACACGTATAGTATTCATTGTTTTTTTTAAAGATATTATTTATTTATTCATGAGAGACACAGAGAGAGAGGCAGAGACACAGGGAGAGGGAGAAGCAGGCTCCATGCAGGGAGCCCAACACGGGACTCGATCCCAGGACCTGGGGTCACGCCCTGAGCCCAAGGCAGACGCTCACCCCCTGAGCCACCCAGGCGTCCCTACTGTAGTTCTTTAAAAAAATAAAAAATAAAAACTTTTAAGTAGGCTCCACACTTAGCATGGGGCTCAAGGTGGGGCTCAAACCCCTGACCTTGAGATCAAGACCCAGGCTGAAATCAAGAGTCAGATGCTTTACCGATGGAGCCACCCAGGAGCCCCTCACACGTACATTTTCACAAATCCTCCCTAGTCCACAAACATCAACAGGAAAAAAATTACATCTTTACTTCTAATAATCTTTGATTAAAAGTTAGTATTCTCGGGATCCCTGGGTGGCGCAGCGGTTTGGCGCCTGCCTTTGGCCCAGGGCGTGATCCTGGAGACCCGGGATCGAATCCCACGTCGGGCTCCCGGTGCATGGAGCCTGCTTCTCCCACTGCCTGTGTCTCTGCCTCTCTCTCTCTGTGTGTGACTATCATAAAATAAAAAAAATTAAAAAATTTAAAAAAAAGTTAGTATTCTCTTCAAATATGAGTACAGATAACAAGCCATGTGGTCTTTGCAGCACCTGTGACCAAAGCTGCCAAAATGGCACAAATATCTTCAAAAATCATTGTAACTCTTGCAGGTATCCTGAAATGCTGTTTGTGTAAAACCTTCCTTCAAAATTATGAGAGTCATTAAACTCACCACCAGGTCTTATAATACACTGTAATATATTGATATATATTACAATGTCAAAGATGTTTTTAATATTCTCATCATTGTATTTCAATATAATTGGCTTCCTTTGTAATTCTATATATTTTATTTTATACATTTAAAAACTGTTTTTTAAAGGCCCACGGGCTTTATAAAAATAAATAAAAAAATAAATAAAAATAAAAATAAAGGACATTTGCCTGCAAATGAATTCACTGAGATGGAAAGGTCCCAGATCAAACATGAGAAAAGGAGTATCATGTCTTTATTGTCTCAGAAGCACTTTAGTAACTGGTTTGTGATATAATCCTCTCAAATTTCCAGTAGCTAGATTCTCACTCTTCTTGTAGAAGAAACAGGGGAAAGATTTATTCCTCCTTAAAAAAAAAAAAAATAGAAAACTGGCAAAAAAAAAAAAAAAGTGTCCACACAAGCAGCGTCCAAGAAGCAGAGGGGACCGTAGCACCGGCTGCTGGTGCCTCACCTGTCCTCCACTGGGAGGGCCCGGGTTCCGGGGCACCGGCTCTTCCACCCGCGGAGCAGGAAACTACGAGAAGCCTGGAGCTCCCGGGCCCAAGTGCCACGAAGGGGATTTTCAAGTAAGGAGTGAGGGTCAGAGGAGCTGGTGCTCCCGGCCAGACACGCACCTCAGAGACAGACGGACGGACCCAGAACGGCTGCTCTGCACTGGCACTGGCCCTGGGAGCGTGTCGTCAGGCTCCCCGCACGCAGAGGGGGACAGACACGCGGCTGTACGTGTGCGCGGGCTTGCACACACACGGGCCCGCACCTCGCGGGCGGCTCCCCGCAGCGCCGGGCGACCGGGCCTGGGCCAACATGGGCACAGAACACGTCGGCCCCGAACAGCGCTCCCGTCCTTCCCTGCTTCTTTGTAACGACTCTACTCATTTACTTGAGGCAGACACCGTGTGGCCCGGCGCGGAGGAGCGGCAGCGGCCCGCGGGGCAGGGAGCCTGGCGTGGGACTCAAACCCAGGACCCGGAGCACCCCGGAGCCACAGGCCCAGGCTCAGGCACGGCGCCACCCGGGCCCCCAATGTGTGGTTTCCAAGCCACTACGTCGGCGGTCACAGTCACCGCAGCAGCTCCACCCCCAGCAGCGCCCCCATAACCTCAGCAGCCCCGCCCCCAGCAGCGCCCCTGTCACCTCAGCAGCCCCTCCCCCAGCAGCGCCCGTGTCACCTCAGCAGCCCCGCCCCCAGCAGCGCCCCTGTCACCTCAGCAGCTCCTCCCCCGGCAGCGCCCCTGTCACCTCAGCAGCCCCTCCCCCAGCAGCACCCCTGTCACCTCGGCAGCCCCGCTGCCCGCAGGGCCCCTGTCACCTCAGCAGCCCCTCCCTCCGCCCGCATGGCCCCTGTCACCTCAGCAGCCCCTCCCCCAGCAGCGCCCCTGTCACCTCAGCAGCCCCGCCCCCAGCAGCGCCCCTGTCACCTCAGCAGCCCCTCCCCCAGCAGCGCCCCTGTCACCTCAGCAGCCCCTCCCCCGGCAGCGCCCCTGTCACCTCAGCAGCCCCTCTGCCCACATGGCCCCTGTCACCTCAGCAGCCCCTCCCCCAGCAGCACCCCTGTCACCTCGGCAGCCCCTCCCCCAGCAGCGCCCGTCACCTCAGCAGCCCCTCCGCCCGCATGGCCCCTGTCACCTCAGCAGCCCCTCCCCCAGCAGCGCCCCTGTCACCTCAGCAGCCCCTCCCCTAGCAGGGCCCATGTCACCTCAGCAGCCCCTCCCCCAGCAGCGCCCCTGTCACCTCAGCAGCCCAGCTGCCCGCAGGGCCCCTGTCACCTCAGCAGCCCCTCCCCCAGCAGCGCCCCTGTCACCTGGGCAGTCCCTCCTCCAGCAGCGCCCCTGTCACCTCAGCAGCCCCGCTGCCCACAGGGCCCCTGTCACCTCAGCAGCCCTTCTGCCCGCAGCGCCCCTGTCACCTCAGCAGCCCCTCCCTCCGCCCGCATGGCCCCTGTCACCTCAGCAGCCCCTCCCCCAGCAGCGCCCCTGTCACCTCAGCAGCCCCGCCCCCAGCAGCGCCCCTGTCACCTCAGCAGCCCCTCCCCCGGCAGCGCCCCTGTCACCTCAGCAGCCCCTCTGCGCACATGGCCCCTGTCACCTCAGCAGCCCCTCTGCGCACATGGCCCCTGTCACCTCAGCAGCCCCTCCCCCAGCAGCACCCCTGTCACCTCGGCAGCCCCTCCCCCAGCAGCGCCCCTGTCACCTCGGCAGCCCCTCCCCCAGCAGCGCCCCTGTCACCTCAGCTGCCCCTCCCCCGGCAGCGCCCCTGTCACCTCAGCAGCCCCTCTGCGCACATGGCCCCTGTCACCTCAGCAGCCCCTCCCCCAGCAGCACCCCTGTCACCTCGGCAGCCCCTCCCCCAGCAGCGCCCCTGTCACCTCGGCAGCCCCTCCCCCAGCAGCGCCCCTGTCACCTCAGCAGCCCCTCCCCCAGCAGCACCCCTGTCACCTCGGCAGCCCCTCCCCCAGCGGCGCCCCTGTCACCTCAGCAGCCCCTCCCCCAGCAGCGCCCCTGTCACCTCAGCAGCCCCGCCCCCAGCAGCGCCCCTGTCACCTCAGCAGCCCCTCCCCCGGCAGCGCCCCTGTCACCTCAGCAGCCCCTCTGCGCACATGGCCCCTATCACCTCAGCAGCCCCTCCCCCAGCAGCACCCCTGTCACCTCGGCAGCCCCTCCCCCAGCAGCGCCCCTGTCACCTCGGCAGCCCCTCCCCCAGCAGCGCCCCTGTCACCTCAGCAGCCCCGCTGCCCACAGGGCCCCTGTCACCTCAGCAGCCCTTCTGCCCGCAGCGCCCCTGTCACCTCAGCAGCCCATCCCCCAGCCGCACCCATGTCACCTCAGCAGCCCATCCCCCAGCAGTGCCCCTGTCACCTCAGCAGCCCCTCTGCCCGCAGGGCCCCTGTCACCTCAGCAGTCCCTCCCCCAGCAGCGCTCCTGCCACCTCAGCACCCCCGCCGCCAGCAGCGCCCCTGTCACCTCAGCAGCCCCTCCCCCAGCGCCCCTGTCACCTCAGCAGCCCCGCCCCCAGCAGCGCCCCTGTCACCTCAGTAGTCCCTCCCCCAGCAGCGCCCCTGTCATCTCAGCAGCCCATCCCCCAGCCGCACCCCTGTCACCTCAGCAGCCCCTCCCCAGCAGCGCCCCTGTCACCTCCGCAGCCCCTCTGCCCGCAGGGCCCCTGTCACCTCAGCAGCCCATCCCCCAGCAGCGCCCCTGTCACCTTAGCAGCCCCGCTGCCCTCAGGGCCTCTGTCACCTCAGCAGCCCCTCCCCCGGCAGCGCCCCTCTCACCTCAGCAGCCCCGCCTCCAGCAGCACCGCTGTCACCTCGGCAGCCCCTTCCCCAGCAGCGCCCCTGTCACCTCGGCAACCCCTCCCCCAGCAGCGCCCCTGTCACCTCAGCAGCCCCTCCCCCAGCAGCGCCCCTGTCACCTCAGCAGCCCCTCCCCAGCAGCACCCCTGTCACCTCGGCAGACCCTCCACCAGCAGCGCCCCTGTCACCTCAGCAGCCCCTCTGCCTGCATGGCCCCTGTTACCTCAGCAGCCCCTCCCCCAGCAGCGCCCCTGTCACCTTGGCAGCCCCTCCCTAGCAGCGCCCCTGTCACCTCAGCAGCCCCTCCCCCAGCAGCACCCCTGTCACCTCAGCAGCCCCGCTGCCCGCAGGGCCCCTGTCACCTCAGCAGCCCCTCTGCCCGCAGGGCCCCTGTCACCTCAGCAGCCCATCCCCCAGCAGCGCCCCTGTCACCTTAGCAGCCCTGCTGCCTTCAGGGCCCCTGTCACCTCCGCAGCCCCTCTGCCCGCAGGACCTCTGTCACCTCAGCAGCCCCTCCCCCGGCAGCGCCCCTGTCACCTCAGCAGCCCCGCCCCCAGCAGCACCGCTGTCACCTCGGCAGCCCCTCCCCCAGCAGCGCCCCTGTCACCTCAGCAGCCCCGCCCCCAGAAGCGCCCCTGTCACCTCAGCAGCCCCGCCCCCAGCAGCGCCCCTGTCACCTCAGCAGCCCCGCCCCCAGCAGCGCCCCCGTCACTTCGGCAGCCCCTCCCCCAGCAGCGCCCCTGTCACCTCAGCAGCCCTGCCTCCAGCAGCGCCCCTGTCACCTCAGCAGCCCCGCCCCCAGAAGCGCCCCTGTCACTTCGGCAGCCCCTCCCCCAGCAGCGCCCCTGTCACTTCGGCAGCCCCTCCCCCAGCAGCGTCCCTGTCACCTCAGAGCCCCTCCCCCAGCAGCGCCCCTGTCACCTCAGCAGCTCCTCTGCCTGCATGGCCCCTGTCACCTCAGCAGCCCCTCCACCAGCAGCGCCCCTGTCACCTCAGCAGCCCCTCTGCCCGCTTGGCCCCTGTCACCTCGGCAGCCCCTCCACCAGCAGCGCCCCTGTCACCTCAGCAGCCCCTCCCCCAGCAGCGCCCCTGTCACCTCAGCAGCTCCTCTGCCTGCATGGCCCCTGTCACCTCAGCAGCCCCTCCCCCAGCAGCGCCCCTGTCACCTCGGCAGCCCCTCCCCCAGCAGCGCCCCTGTCACCTCAGCAGCCCCTCCCCCAGCAGCGCCCCTGTCACCTCAGCAGCCCCTCCGCCCGCAGGGCCCCTGTCACCTCAGCAGCCCCTCCCCCAGCTGCGCCCCTGTCACCTCAGCAGCCCCTCCCCCAGCAGCGCCCCTGTCACCTCAGCAGCCCCGCCCCCAGCAGCGCCCCTGTCACCTCGGCAGTCCCTCCCCAGCAGCGCCCCTGTCACCTCAGCAGCCCCCCAGCAGTGTCATCCGCCTGCCTCCAGGGCGTCTGTGCGGCGGGCTGCGGGGACCGGACTGAGCTCCCAATCGCAGGTTGTGCAGGAGGAAGGCGTGGCCGCAGCCCCCGCAGCCATCCCCGCAGCCGTCCCGGAGCGCGAGGCCCCAGGGGTCGGAGTCCGGGCCCCCTGCGCGGCCGGGAGGGGACTCGGGCCTTTCCCGGTTCAAGCGGGGAGGGGGAGGGGCACCGGCGCACGCGGCCGCCTCGGGCCGCCGGGGGACCCGTTCGCTGCCCCCCCGCCCCCGACGCGCCTCCCCCGCGGCCTCCCCGGGAGCCGGGCCGCCCCACAGAGCGCCCCCCGCCCCCCCAGCCCAGGGCGCACCCACCTCGGGCGCAGGGCGGGCGTCCGTCTGGACGAGCGGCGGGGCCCTCAGGCGGCGGGAACCCGGAGGCGGACGCCCGGGCCCGCTCACCGCTCGCTCCCCGGGGCGCGCCTCCCGCAGGACTTTCACTTTCGCTTCCCACGGCCTTGGGGCTCCCCGCGGGCGGGCGGCGGCCGGGGACGGGGGCGCTGCGGCCAGGGGCTGCGCAGGGGCGTCGGCGGGACCCCCAGGGGCGGCCCGGAGCCTGCAGCGCCTCCCCGCGGCCCCCCTCCCCGGGCCTCCCCCTTCCCCGGGCCTCCCCCTCCCCCGGGGCCTCCCCTTCCCCCGGGGCCTCCCCCTTCCCCGGGCCTCCCCCTCCCCGGGGCCTCCCCCTCCCCTGGGCACCCCGCCGTCCCCCTCTCCCCCCACAGGTCTCCGGGTCTCTGTGACCAGGATTTGTTAATCAATAGGATCCTGTAAGGACACGGAGTCCCAGGTCCCAGGACAGCGAGGCCGGGGAGGCTGGGCCGCAGCAGGTCGGCGGGGCGCCAAGGCGAGCTTTGGCACCAGGAAGAGGCAGGGACCCCAGGGTACGTGGCTTCTTGTGCAAGAGGCGGCCGTTTTGTTTTCATTTTGAGTGTGTCCAAAAAGTATTCCTTCATGAAGGGTGCACAGGCACCCATTCTAAGGCACGGTTTTCAAAAAATCACTCATTTTGTGCGTGTGTTACTGGACGTATTGTTGGGAAGGTGGGCAGAAAGGCAGGAAGGCCCAGGGGAGGCGCGTCCGCGGGGCAGCAGGTCTCGGCGCTGACCCTCGCCTGCAGGTGCGTAGCCTACAGGTGCAGCCGCTGGGCCCCGAGCCAGGGCCTGAGCCTCCTGCGCCACCTGCGAGCCCCGGGGCGGGGAAGGCCGCGCTGTCCCCTTGGCTTCTGTGGCCCGTGACCCTGGAAGGTTCTCTTGCAGCCTTCTGTTGGGAAGCTCGCAAATACATACATACTTCGCTAAGTGTGATCTTTTCCTTTGAAAATAAAAACATCTGGCTCATTTCAAGAACCCAGCGTTTCTTACTGCTCCTCCCAGAAGCACCCACAGCTGCCCTGGCCCCCAGGTAGCGGCAGGTGCATCCCCGGGAAGTCGGGGCACCCAGCCCGGGAGACAGTGCTGCAGCCACACGGTACTCAGCACAGCGGGCCGAACACTGGGTCAACACACATCAGATCCACGTACATCAAGAATACCGATGGCAATGCAGCTGCTTTTCTAAGTGAAAAATAAAGGAGCGCGTGACAAGGACTTTTGTCCTCATCAGCCCGGTAAGAAAGCTCAAAGCCCATATCTGTTGCCACCTGAGCATTCCTTCCGCTCCACTTGGGCATGTTAGAGACCAGGAGCCCTGGACGGTTACCTACTTCAGCCTTGTTTCTTCTTTGTCTCATTTATGTTTTTCACAAGCAGATGATAAACGGCAGGGCGGTGGCCAGACACTGGCGGGTGCTGTTAAGGGGCAAAGGTCATGAGCAGGAGGGAAGGCTTTGTGGCGCCTGGTGCTCTGCAAGGCAATGCGGCTCTGAAGATGAATGGGCAGCTCTGGGGTTGCTAATGATGCTAACTGTTCATCTACCGGGGACTCCCAAACGTTTTCTAGAGGTCTGTGTCTGGCCAGCAACATGAGACAGAGGAATCACCCGCGTGTGCAGATGAAGACAGCAAGGCTTACGGACGCGATAAAAATCAGGCGGTTAATGGGTGATGACACTGGTAACGTGTTTTACTCTCAACCATGAAATCAAGTGTCTCCACACTGTGTTCCCCGGCGCCTGAAGAGGAGAGAATGCCGTGGCCAAAAGGGATTGGGAAATGTCGAATACCGGATTCACTTTTGGAGATTCACCACGCACATCAGCACGCTCTGAGGTTCGAGGGAGGGGTACTGCAGGGCGAGAGTAAAGCACACATTACAAAACAAAACAAACAAAACTTAAAAATAAAATAAAAATAAAAAATAAAGCACACATTACAAAGTTTAACTTCATTCCACCTTGAGTTTATCAAACTAATTTGACCACTAAATTCCTTTTTTTCATGGAGCAAGTATTAAAATCTCAAAGAGTTTCTAATTTGAGTGATGCAATTTGAGCGATGCTTCACTAATGATGGGCTTCAGGACAGGCTGCTTGAAAATATGGCATATTGAATATTTTAAACTGAAGGAGTTGCAGAGAACAGTAGGAGCAAGATCCTTAGGAGCTCTTCCCCTACCTCCACCCTCTTCCTCTGAGAAGCGCCTGCCTTCTTATCTCTGAAGACAAAGGGACACAGAGAGGAACCCTAACACGCAGGCTTCACCAAGTTCCCCCAGTTCACTCCGATTGCCGCGTACTCTCTGCTCTAACACGTTCCTACATGACTGTGCAGCCTGCGTGAGTCCAGCATTCGAGCCCAGGCCTCACTGTTCACTCCGGTCTCCATTACCGCCTGAAGGTTCTCCTGTCACATAAAACTCATGTTAAACACACGTGTATCCTTCTCTCCTGCTAATCTCTTTGTCAGTTTCATTTTCAGCCCCACCCAGGGACCCCAAGGACTTACAGGAAAACTGTTTCCTTCCCTACACTAAATTATAAACATGAATCCTAATATCAGAAAGTATTGAGTGTCTGTAACACACTCAGTGGATCTGGCGTCGCACAGAGATGTCCGGGACGCTCACACAAATCTGTGCTGCCTGACAGCAGATGCACACCCCCTTACATGCTTCTCCTTCCCACCACGCGCCAACAAACTCCTCCCAGATTTTTCTATAAATTCACACACACACACACACACACACACACAGCCTGGTTACTAGCACAGTGTGATGGGCGCCACGAAGAGGTGCAGGCAAGAGGGAGCAAAACACAAGGGAGGGACTGGTCCCCCATCTCGGTTTCCTCTTTGGGAATTAGGTTGACTCTTAAAGTTAGAGGAGGCAGCCTGAGATGGGGGGGGGCGCGGGGGGTGGGTGGCCACCCCCTGGGGCAAGAGACAATTTAGGGAGGTACCAAGACTTCTGTGGACATGCAAATGAGGAAACTACCTGAAATCCCTTTTACTATGCCCTTCCTTTTATTTTTTTTTTAAGATTTTACTTATTTATTTATTTATTCTTGAGAGACCCAGAGAGAGGCAGAGACACTGGCAGAGGGAGAAGCAGGCTCCCTGTGGGACCCCTACGCAGGACTCAATCCCAGAACCCGGGGTCACAGCCGCAGGCAGCTGCTCACCCCTGAGCCCTGGGCGCCCCTTGCCTTCCCTTTCCCTCCAGCCTGTGCTGTCCCCACCCAGACCGTGGTGACCTGGGCTGCAGGTCCTCCTTGGGGAAGTCAGACTGGCTGCGATGCTCCCAGCAGAATCCCGTGGGGCCCCAGGGGCCTGCAGCTCTGGGGGACAGAAGTGCAGGTGTCGCTAAGGACAGGGATCTGAAATGGCCTCAGCAGCTCGAAGAAACACTCACTATGTGCTGCAATGAGGAATAGATACAGAAAATAAATCAATGTACTTAACTCCTCAGGGCTAACCCCATACATAATAACATGGGGAACATTTTTAAAGGAAAATAATAAATACTTTAGTTATGTGGACATGAAACACAACATGTAACAGGTCACTGAATTGTGGACACATTCTATATGCAGAATTGCCTTCTTGATCTCAATGAGATTTTTTATTATTATTTATTGGAATATATTACGTTAGATAAAAGATTTCGATAAATCCAATTTGAAAATTTGTCACGAAAATGAAATCTTAAATCAAATGCATATATATATGTTCAGAAAGACGCAGGGAGAGAAACAACTTTGCAATACATAAGTATATCCGATCAACAGGACGTGCGTGTCTAAAATGTCTGTACAGTGTTCTATGCCAATTTTATCTCAATAAAGCTGGAAAAAATAAAACAGTAAGCAGCAGATTTTTAAAAAAGTAAAGTAAGTGTTCCATCCCTTTCTCTCTATCAAGTATGCAATACGACACAGCTAGACCTGCCATTGGTGTCAAGTGGGGGCTTAGGGCCTGTTCAGGTCACTGAGGCTCCCCACCCCCCCACAAGTCTCTTGGGCTGGGGGATGGAGCTGCCCTCACCCAGGCTCTCCTGCCCAGCTCAGCAAGTAGTGGCTGCAGCCATTCTGTACACTGCGGACATTTTCTTCTTCTTTGTCTTCCTACCCACAGAAGTGCCTTTTTTTTTTTTTTTGAACTAGTTTTAAGACAAAGCTTCAAAAAAAACTTTTTTTTTGCATCACCTAGTTACTAGTCCAGTAACTATACCTAGTAGGTGCTACACAGCTCCTTCTTCCTAACTGGTGTTTAGATGCAAGGGGGGAAGTCAGATACTCTAGGCCCAATGTCATAACCCCCTAGTATGGGTTTTCATATTAATGAAAACATTAGTGTATGAACGTTTGTCTAAGTGAATAAAATACTGTGAGGTAGACCAAACATTTAAAAACAAAAGTCTGGGCAGCCCAGCTGGCTCAGCGGTTTGGTGCCTACATTTGGCCTGGGGCCTGATCCTGGAGACCTGGGATCGAGTCCCACGTCGGGCTCCCTGCAGGGAGCCTGCTTCTCCCTCTGCCTTCTCCCTCTGTGTCTCTGCCTCTCTCTCTGTGTCTCTCATGAATGAATAAACAAAATCTTTAAAGAATAAATAAATAAACAAACAAATTAATTAATTAATTAATAAAACAAAAGTCAATCCAAGGTAAAGAATAAGAGTAAGAATAAGGAATAAAGGACATTATCTTCTTGAACCTTCCCTGGGCTGCTCATTTATCATGTAAACATAATTGAGCAGTTAGAAAATTGTTTTTTGTTCAAGTATTAGGAAAAAGAAGCTATTGTCTTTGACGATGCTGGAAAGAGGAACGATGACGTGTTTGCTCGTGAACTAGAGGCTCAAAAATAAACATCAACTCCTAAAGGCCAAGCCTTAAAGGTAGTAAGCAGTATACCTCAGTAGTATATTAAGGAAATTAAAGAAATCTAAGAATATTGCTGATGTTTTCTTGCTTTGTCTAATTGCAAAGTGAATACTGCTTCTGATCGAACTCCCTTAGGCTGCACTGATGGAAAGATAAACCAAACCGTTAGGCTTGAGCTTAGAACTCACAGGAGAGAAAAAACTCAAAGACTTGAGATTCTCAGGGTGTTTAAATAGAATATAGCCTTAGAATGTTGGGAAAATCAAAATATTAAATTCTGATTGTGTTATCACCCAGATTCCCAAATGAGAAAGAATCAAGCAAAGCATCCAAATAAATTAATGTAGCTTCTCACGGAGGTCAGCTGCTAAGAGAATATGCATAAACATAATGAAAACCGCTAAAAAAGTGTTAGAAGAAATTTATTTTGCTTACTATCTTTGTTTTTTGAAATGGGAATTTCTAGTTTGCTTTTCCCTGAGTGGCTGTGTGAGGAGTTCTAGAAATTGCCAAAAAGCAAGATTTGAGTTGGTGCTTGAGTACGTTGTTTTTGATTATCTCTTTGGTTTAAATAATGTCCACAAGAGGTGTCAAATCATTGCAACAAGGAAGTTCACTGATCTATTTGGCAAATTAAAAACATATCAGGCAAAAGAGTGCAACTTCTTGTTCTAAGTTAGGGATGTTTTCTTGGAATTAGTGAGCCTAGTTAGATGGAAGAATATAATGTCCACCACGACGTATCTCAGGATAGTGTGTGATTTCTGTCGATTTTCCTTGCAGTGTGTGCAAATGTACAAGAAAGAGAAAAGGTGTCTGTGAGCAAAAGGACATGCAGTAAACTAGTCCTTCTCGAACTGCAATGTCCATATGGATTTGAGGATCTTGTTAACTTGCAGATCCTGCTTCCACAGGTTTAGCATGAAGGTTCTGTATTTCAGACATTGCCAGGTGCTGCGGGCACTGGTGCTGGAGCTGCTGCTGCTGGTAGTGCTGGTGGTGCTGGTACTGGTGTTGCTGGTGTTGCTGTTGCTGCTGGTGCTGCTGGTGCTGGTGGCGATGGTGCTGCTGGTGCTGGTACTGCTGGTGCAGCTGGTGCTGGTGCTGGTGCTGGTGGTGCTGGTGCTGCTGGTGCTGCTGGTGTTGCTGGTGCTGGTGGTGCTGGTGCAGGTAGTGCTGGTGCAGGTGGTGCTGTTGGTGCTGGTGGCCAGGTGGTGGTGCTGGTGGTATGGTGCTGTGGTGCTGCTGGTGCTGCTGTGTGCTGCTGTGCTGCTGCTGTGCTGTGCTAATGAAGCTGGTGCTGGTGGTGGTGGTGCTGACGGTGCTGCTGGTGGTCCTGGTGGTGCTGCTGGTACTGCTGGTGCTGCTGCTGGAGGTTCTGCTGGAGGGGCTGGTGATGGTGCTGCTGATGGTGCTGCTGGTGTGCCTGCTGGTGCTGGTGCTGCTGCAGCTGCTGCTGCTGCTAATGATGCTGCTGCTGCTGGTGGTGATGTTGCTGGTGGTGGTGCTGGTGCTGCTGGTGCTAGTCGTGCTGGTGAGGTTGCTTCTGGTGCTGCTGGTGCTGGTACTGGTGCTGGTGATGGTCATGTGGTGTTAGTGGTGCTATGAGTAGTGCTGCTGGTGCTGCTGGTGCTGCTGCTTCTGGTAGTGGTGCTGGTAGAGGTGCTGCTGGTGGTGCTGGATGTGCTGCTGGTGCTGGTGTTTCTGGTAGTGTTGGTGGTGCTGGGGCTGGAGGTGCTGGTGGTGCTGGTGCTGGAGGTGCTGCTGCTCCTGGTGGTCCTGGTAGTGCTGGTGCTGGTGATGGTGCTGCTGGTGCTGGCTGGTGCTGGTGCTGGTGGTGCCAGTGCTGGTTCTGCTGCAGGTGGTGCTGCTGGTGCTGGTGCTGGTGCTGCTGGGCTGGTGCTGCTGCTGCTGCTGGTGGTAGTGCTGATGCTGCTGGTGGTCCTGGCGTTGCTGGGGGTGCTGCTGGTGCTGCTGGT